ACCTCTCACTGTCTGCCTGTTTCTAAATAGAGCAGCATAATTTCAGTTGTATTCTGTTTCCTGCATCTCAGCGTCCTCCCCTAAGACTGCGGGGCGTAAAATGCATTTCCCATCTATCTCGCATCTTTATTCACCGCTCAGTAAGCAGCCCGGCCTGACTCTTCCTCATTTCAATTCATTTTTAGGCTCCAAGATATTTCTTCATTCAGAGCATCAACAAATGAGATGATTGGAAACCGGTCTCAATGTCCCAGAGAGTATCTTTCTGGATAATTCAGGACTCCGCTCAGCTAATAATCATATTAAATATATGCCGGTTCTTATAGGGGGACTGGAGGCAGAAGGACAGCTCTCAGTGTGTTCTCATAATGATCGTAACTCAAGGATGGTGCAATCGATCAATCCTCCATTTGTTCCCATTGGAGCCCTGAGAATCACTACTTACACACTGTACTTCAAGTTCTCTCAACTCTCTACAAACTGAACATTATCTTACATAAAAACAATGTCTTGAAGGCTAACCAATGATTTTCTGCACAATAAAATTTCTCCATTGCATAATTCTTTGTACTGTACGCACTGCTTTCACTTTAAGATGTGCCCTTCCTCGTTCTCCTCCATTATTCATCTGTTCTTACAGATGTCCATGTTTTTGCCCTTAGCACTCTACCTCTGCAACACATGTAATGCAATAGCAGACACTCATCAGAACATCAACTATTAAGCAGTGAGGACTTGTAACACTGTACTAAGTAGTCTTATCACACTTTGAGGAAATATTTTATTCATGTTCTGGTTACTATTCCTTTGTGTCCAGGACCAAAAATACAAATAAAATATAAATAGTAACACTTTACTTGAAGGTGATGTGCATAAGCCTGTCATGAAGACTTTATAATCATGATATATGACATTTGAGATTGTATGCATGCTTATGACTGTCAATAAATGTCATTCACAGTTGTCCTTTTAAATGTAAAGATGACATTGTTTGAGATGTCTTTAGTATGACAACTTTACATGAACAAATAAATTATAAGTCTTTGTCATGACAACATGATTTGTCATAAATCTATCATAAACATGATTGTCATTAATTTTCATGAATCAATCACTTTTTTGGAGTAGAGCAAACTGAATTAGTTAACTCACACTCCTTCTGAAAATGTACCGCTTTTTGTTTTCGCAAATTCAGCAGAGGTTGTTGTGTAAGCTTTTTCAGACCTCTAATTTTTCTTGCCAGTGCCATTCGTGCCTGCTGTTCACATGTAAATTCACCAGAGGCCGCTGTCGACTGACTGTTGACTGACTCACTGACTGACTGATTGACCCACCCTAAATCCAACCAATAGTGTTTTCAAAAGCACCGATTTACTGATACACCCACTTCCCTAAACCCGATTAACAATTTTCAAAACCATTTGAAGAAAAGAAAAGCCCTCATCAGATTTTCAAATTTTACCACATTACCACATTTTCAGCCTGTTATTTACTTGTTTATTTTATTATTTGTGTTGAAATTTGCCATTAAAATTTCCCATTAAAAGTGGAAAAATGTATTGTATACTATAATTCTACAACAGTATAAATACATTTTATTACAGCGCCAACAATATTTTTCTTGTGCAATTTTATTCAACTACAGTGGTACAAATTGTATTTATCATTAAAATGTCATGAAGGCCGTACTCACACTAGGTACAGTTGCCTCGAACCGGGCCAAAGCACGCTTGTCCCCCCTCCCGTCTCCCCCGACGGCCCGCGCTCACACCACAAACGGGCTTCGGCACGCTTACGTCATCGCTGCTGCGCTGTTCAGTGAGAAGCGCTCTCTCACTCAGCAGCACAGTGGAGATTTCTCTAGTTATATCGTTTCAGTCATTTGATATGCCGTCAAATAATTCGCCAAACAGTACTTAGGAATGCGGGGACATGCAGTCAGACATTTCGCCGAACAGATCCACCACTTTTGGCGCTCATAAACAATCATAAAGCCCTCATGCTGCAGGAATGAGGAGGTCTGCTGAAGGCGCGCAGCTGTCGTGCAGTGAAGGTTTTGCGTCTTTAATAAACTACGGCAGTTTGCGTTCACTGAACAGTAAGAATTATTAATAAATCCATATGAAACAGTGCCTTAAAAGTCACGTCTCGCTTTCAGTTTCGGGCTTTGGTGCGTTTTGCACTCACACACAAGCGTACCGCGCCAAAGCCCAAGTGAACCGGGCCCAGGCACACCTCTTCCAACCGGGCTAGGGCCGGCCAAGTGAACCGTGCTTGAGCCCGATTCAGCGCACTCACACTTCTCAAACGATCCCGGAAACGGGCCTGGGCATGGTACGGATGGCATAGTGTGAGTAGGCCCTAAGTGTCAAGATACTCTGTCAAATATTTTTATTTCAGTGTCACAAAGCTTATTTTTTAGTTTTAGGCATAGTTTTTTACTTTCTTTCAGCAGAAAGTCAGGTAATAGACAGGTACAGTAATATTTCCAGTGTCTTCGAAGTATTGAAGATATTACTTCGTTTTTGTAAATTTTTGTGCAGTCAGCACTGCAAAGTATATACTAAAACATATTTTATATATTTGTAAGTTTTTTATTTTTATTTTTGATTAAGTTACCTTTTTGTAATACCGTTTGAACAATATGATTATAATATACCTATGGTTAATGATAATATAATATAATATAATATAATATAATATAATATAATATAATATAATATAATATAATATAATATAATATAATATAATATAATATAATATAATATTGTCAGTCTAGAATAAAAAAACAACTCTTTTATCTGAGCAGTACTACTGAAAATATTAAAACCAAAATATTACTATCCGTTTTTTCACCATTTATTTTTTTCTGAGTGACAGGCCATAGAGTAATTTCTTCCAATGCATCAGCGGTTGTGATCACTGAAGCAGAGGAACTGATGTTGGATAGCAGGGTCTCCAGCTGAATCAGCCCATATCTAGTTTCTGTAAGCACAATACACTCTACTCTGCCACCTGATGCTGCACGACTGGCCTATTTCTTCCTCTCATTGAGCAATGGAAAGTTATTATATGGTCCAACTTATTCCCTGAGTGATGGCGATGACATTATAATCAATCAATTATTGAGTAAGGCTAATTAGCATCACATTGTACTTGTGACAGCAGGTGGTTTCCAACTCTTCCAAAGGCGAGGTCTTATTAATTTTTATTAATTTATTTATGTTTTAGCAGCAGCAGAAGGCACACCTTTACGTAACTTCAAGACGATTTTTTTCAACATTAAAACGATTTCCCTCAATAATGATATTTCTAAATAATAATAAATCCATGAAAGTTTACATTTGGCACTTTTGGTTAAATTACTCTACAACTGGTCTGTTTTATGTAGTTCATTTGAATGATTGTGAAACTGTGGTTTAAACCTTGTTACACACCAAACAAGCTAAAATGATGGAATTAAAATGTTCTCTATTTGGGTTGAGATAAAAACATAAATGCAACACATCTAAACAAACCAAAACAAGCAACCTAGGCTCATTTCGATTATGTACCCTTATATACATTTCTGGAGAGAACAAAATATGTCTCAGGAGCTACGTTTTTTTCATCGGAGACCGCTATGTACGCTTTTTCATATCTCAATTTTTTCTCGCGAGTGCCATTCGCGAGCTGTTCTCATGTAAGTCTACAAGAAGCTGCTGTCGACTGACTACATGACTAACTGACAACCTGACCGATAACCCCCTTTCCCTAAACCCAACCAATAGTATTTTAAAAAGCACCAACTGAACCAACACGCCCTCCCCTAAACCCTACCAATAGTGTTTTAAAAAGCACTGATTGACCAACACAATCTCACGGCAATTCGTAACTTTTTCATTTAGTGGCTAATTCGTATGAATTCGTATGATCTAATTTGTACAATTTAGTACGATTTGCTCATCCCCCAATGACGGTTGGGGTTAGGGGTGGGCCAGGTGCCACGCCTCCTTTTTAAAATCGTATTATTTCGTACGACTGAACTCGTACGAATTCGTACGAATTAGCCACTAAACTGGCAAAACGTAAAATACTTACATTTTCTCATGAGATCAGGCTGGATTGACCCACCACCCCCTTCCTTAACCCCTTCAGACCCTGCGTTCATTACAATGGACATCACATGACATCCCATTTTTCTGAAATTTGGAACATAATTCAGGTCTGAAGGGGCTAAACCCAACCGCAGTGTTTGTGATTGTTTTGAAAAGCAATCCAGAAAAAGAAAAGCCCATTGTGATTATTACGTTTTTAGATTTTACCACATTCTCACCCTGTTATTTACATGTGTATTTTACTTTTTTAACTTTTGTTTTTGGCTTACCTACTTTCTGGAACCGTTCTCCACTGGACTTGAACTCTGCACTGCATCTCAAGTCAACCGCCGTACGCGTCAAGCCACCAGATAAACTGGCAACAGCAGAAAAGCTGTCCACATGCAGGTAAGCAGTCAGCTGGCAAGTGCAAACAGGAACTGCATCATACCGCCCCGTAGCTTTTGTTTTAAAGACGAAATGCAGCCATATGTAGCTGCAGCTACATAATTTGCGGTTTCCAGAAACGTATATAGGGCTATATTTTTAGAATGAGCCTGTGTTGCAAATTAAACATGATGTCAAAATCTGTAACTAGCATAGTGTTCAATCATATACTAGGCTTTTCTCTTCATAGTTTTTTCAGAGACATTTCACAAATTATCTTCATTTAAATTTCAAGTCATTTGGGACTAAAATCACATTTACTATTGTAAATTTACTAATAGTTTGTAAATTAAATTTGCTTTAAAAGAAGTTCTTTTTACTTTTAATGTTTACAGTAAGTGCATTTAAATTTAGTGAAAGAGTCATTTTATTGGGCTATCTATACGCTTTAGATTTGTGCACTTTATCCAGCACTGATTATGAGGGACTGTTTTTCATGATTGTCAATATAAAAACAGTGTAGGACACTTCTCTTACCTCCACTGCTGCCTTCGCTCTCTCAAACTCCTCCTCCAGAGACTGGTTTCTGGACAGCAGTGTGCTGCCCCACCTCTGCTCTTTGCTCAATCGGCCCTGTCAAACACACGCAAACAGAGTAGCAGTCAGAGAGAACGTGTCCAGCCATCTCTCAGTCACTCTGACAGGAGAAAAGGCCCTGCCCTTGCCAACTTCTGATGCCAGAGGCAAGGAGAAATGCCATCATTACAGCACAAGGTCTTCTTTCGTTCTCTCTTTCTTTCTCTCTCTCTTTCTCTCTCTCTCTCTTTCTCACGTTCACTCCCTTTTGAGGTCCTGCTGTCCACACTTAATGTTCTCACACTCATAATGGCTCTGGACTGGCTTGTCATGCACAGTGCACTGCCCTCACACATTTTTCTCAGTATGCAAATCTGAAAATAGCATGGCAGGAGACCTTTGCTCAGCAGAAATCGTCAAATTTGCACCATTTTCAACACTGTACACCTGAAGACATGCTTGACATGCGGCAAAGCCATTCATTTCCACTACACTGCTGTGTGTGTGTGTGTGTGTTTATTAAGCACACAGCAACAGAAATCAAGCTTACTGCAAAATAAAATACAAGAGTAAGACCTCAACGGTTTTGTTTGTCATAAATGCTTCATATGGAGATGTTTCAAATTTAGAGGGTGACATATGGGCATAAACAACAGGAGCCTGTATACCTCTGCCGATAGCTTAACAACATGATTAAAACACTGTGTTATATTTTGTTAACTAGGTTACTGCAAGGACTAGAAATCCATTAAAATTGTTAAAAGAACACTCCACTTAAAAAAAAAAATGGCTCATTTAACAAGTCCTATTGAGCTAAACAATTGAGTTTTACAGTTTTTAATCCACACAGCATATCTCCAGGTTTGACGGGAGCATTTTTAGCTTAGCTTCGCATAGATCGTTGAATCGAATTAGACCATTAGTATCTCACTCAAAATATTCCAAAAGATTTGATAATTTTACTATTTAAAGCTTGTCTTATCAGTAGTTACATCATGTAGCCACTAAGACCAACAGAAGATGATAAGTTGCTATTTTCTAGGTCTCATTTTCATACTCTCATTCTGACGTAATAATCAAGGGATTTTGCTGCAGGATTATGGCTGACGCAGGGACAACAGAGCTTTCTTACCTAGCTGGTGACTTGTAAAATGAGACTATTTCCAAAAGTGAAGGGTTTCTTTAAATAAATTAATTACATGATATGACAAACTTTATTGGTAAGGCTTTACAATTAGGAACCATTAGTTAATGATATTTCAACTATTTACTTATTTATAAATATGAACAAGCAATGAACAATACAATTATTATAGTATTTATTTATATTTTTACTGTTAGTTAATCAAAATAAAGTCATTCATTGTTAATTCATTATTCATTGACCAATATATCTTCCATCTAGCAGTTTCAAATTCTTCCAGTGATTGACAGATAAATAAATAAACAAATAAATAAATATTTATTTATTCATTCATTCATTTTCTTGTTGGCTTAGTCCCTTTATTAATCCGAGGTTACCACAGCGGAATGAACCGCCAATTTATCCAGCAAGTTTTTTACACAGCGGATGCCCTTCCAGCCGCAACCCATCTCAGGGAAACATCCACACACACATTCACACACACACACACACACACACACTCATAGACTACAGACAATTTAGCCTACTCAATTCACCTGTACCGCATGTCTTTGGACTGTGGGGGAAACCGGAGCACCTGGAGGAAACCCACGTGAACGCAGGGAGAACATGCAAACTCCACACAGAAACGCCAACTGAGCCTAGGCTCGAACCAGCGACCCAGCGACCTTCTTGCTTTGAGGTGACAGCACTACCTACTGCGCCACTGCTTCGCCCCAATATTTATTTAATAAATAATAAATAAAAATTGACGAATAAATAAACAGGGAGTCTTATAATTCTGGGGGTTCTAATAATTCTGACTTCAACTGTATATACCAGATGGCATAATTAATTATGCTACTTTTTAATTGCATTGAATCAAATTAATCATGCTAAATTAAAATGGCTGCTTTCTGTGTTGAATTTTCATTAATAATAGTGTTATGTTTTCGGTGTCCCTTAATCTTTAAAGTTGCTTGTCATTTTAATGAATAACATAATCATAGAGTTACCCTTTAAAAATTCACCCTCTGTATGTAGCGTTGTGTCTTGTTCTTAGGTCAGTCTAAATGTCAAGTGCTGAGCTATCACTGAAAAACTTCCATTTCCGCCAATTCAATTCTCGGCATAACAAAGCCTTCCAGGCAGGCTGAATCAAAGGAATAGGATGAAGTATTTGCCACCTGCCTCATTGGAGATTAATCAATTACCAAGGTTACCAAGTTAAATGGATTTCATACAGGAGGTTATAATGGGGGCCTCAAAAAGGACAATTGGTCGTGCTTCATTGTGCTGGTGCAGCTCTGTATAATTACATTAAATGTGGCCTGTTAGGCCCTATGTCAGTGCAACAATTGCCTTTAACATTACACATTTCATTTCCACTGCACCTCATGGGCCAAAGATAGTCTGAGCTCGATGTTTTTAGAACCATGCAGCTCACATGTACTGATTGCTCTATCATGACTAGTCTCGACAAATCCATGACAGCTTTATCTTAACTTCTTACTGTACATCATGCAGGGATTAAGGTTCAATGGTGCAAAGTTCTGTCTAGGGATGTCCCGATCTTTTTTTTTGCCCTCGAGTCCAAAGCATTTGATTTTGAGTATCTACCGATACCAAATCCCGATCTGATACTTTTATAATACATGAAAAAAAGAATGAATAAAAGCAAAAAAAAAAAAAAAACAACAACAAAAAAACAATCCAAGCTGTTCCTTATTTTCTATTTAATTCACCCTTTTTAAAATTTTACAACTCTGTTACCAAACAAAGCCCTTCTGTAAGATAGCTTGAACAATCAAGCAATAAATAACATAAATACTTCATTTTTGGACTTTAGTGCAACAGTAAATAAAAAGAGACTTATATATAAACAAATAGCACCTCAACTTAGAATACCCGGCAGGCAATCCTAAGTTTACATATCTCACAGTTTGCTATGGCAGTGTTGTCGTCATCAACTTTATAATACCTCCAGACTGTAGACATACTTGTATTTTCCACTTCAAGGTGCTTTTTACCGCATAACTATAGATAGGTTAAAAAAAGAGAATATATGTATATACTGTATACATATATATTTGAGTTCTGATCGAGAGGTAACGTCAAATTCCAATCAAGACTAAAACCACGAGATCGGGGCCAATTTCCATTCATGTGAACAGCTCTGGACATCCCTAGTTCTGTTGTTAAACAAACATGTATAATTATAATTTATTCAATCAAGATAAATAAATAAATAAAGCAGTACATGCATGCTTGCAGTAAAAAATACTTCTTGAAACATCCAAATCTGCATATGAGAATTACTGATCATATACAGTATACTATTAAAGTATACTATAAGTATATAAGTATACTATATATAAGTATACTATTAAAATCAATATAATCAATATAAAATGTATATAAATATAATTACTGATCATGTGACACTGACAATGAAAAACCAGCAACTGAAAATTCAGCTTAGCAATCACATGAATAAATGACATTTTCATTTTCATATGACTATATGAGGGGTCACCACAGCGGAATGAACCACCAACTTAGGTGGTAGGCTAAGGTGGTAGTTTTAGATTTGTCAAATAATTTTATAAAATGACCTTTTTTACTCTAATAATTACTCTAATAATTTGATCAAATAAAGGGAAATTTTGTGAGCATGGGAGAAATTATACAAACAAACAAACAAAACAAACAAAAAGACAAGTAAACACTTACATTTTACTGACCCAAACTTTTCAACAGTACAGTGGAATTATACGTTTTTGTGTATTTACACCAATCTACAAGCCAGTCACACAAATCAAATGCACTAGAGAAGGCATCCATTGCTTAACACAATATATTTGGTCTAATTTCATGTTATATAATTTTTTCAATAGCAGCCTTGGGATTTATTGTACAACCTCCAGTGGTGATATTGGCCAGTGGCTAGTCAATAATTAATTTGCTAAATGATCTAATCATGATAGATGGCAATACAGCAGACCTGCATGCTTCAATGAGGCAAGAAGCGTGTAACATTTGTACCTTGTAGCACCACAACAAATTTATAAATCCTTGTACACTGTAACCTTCCCTGAGGATGCAACCTCAGTTCATTAGCTGAATGTAGCTCAAATAGTGCCAGAATAGTTTAGCCGTTTTTTTGCATTGAATTTGGTGGTGATGCTGTTTCCATGGTGCAAATGCATAGACCATTCAGCGATTCATACAAAGAGTGCACAGAAAGGCTTACATGTCTTCCACTAACATATTGCCTGTTGAGCTGAAAATGAAGAATTCTAGATGTTAGCACAGACTCTTCCACAATGTGTTGTCATTCACACTTGTAAACAGACGTATAGGTTTGGTGGCACTACAAACAATGGGACATGTGGGAAATAACATGTGAAAGTCACTGGCACGTGTACAGATGATTATGTCTTATAAAAAGTGTTGCTTGGTGTTGCACTTACTTGGGTTACTGGCCCGGCTTCTGCCTCTACTTTATTGTTTACCTCCAGGGAGTTCCTGTGGCTAGTGTCTAGCTGTGGCTTGCAATCCATAGACCTAGAATCATGTTAGAAGAAATTAATGTTCAAAATAGGTGTTAACTTCAGAATTAGAGGTCAATTCATCAAACTCTATCATGCAGTGTTTTAAATAACTACAACAACAACAACAACAACAACAATAATAATAATAATAATGAGCAAAGCACTTCAAAAACCTTTTATTTTGTTTTAAACTCAGTGGTTAAAAATAAACAACAGCAATGACTGTAGCAAGAAGAAAGATTAAAACTAAAATTTCTGAGTATTTTCACAATGTCAGGCATATGAAAAGCAAAAAATGCCACTAAATTGAACAAAACTAGGATTTTTAGCTGATTATTGCTGCTAAACTCGTTTAATAGGCGACGCAGTGGCGCAGTGGGTAGCATGTTCGTCTCACAGCAAGAAGGTCGCTGGGTCGCTGGTTCGATTCTTGACTCAGTTGACGTTTCTGTGTGGAGTTTGCATGTTCTAACTGCGTTCGCGTGGGTTTCCTCTGGGTACTCCGGTTTCCCCCACAGTCCAAAGGCATGCGGATAAGGCTGAATCGGGTAGGCTAAATTGTCTGTAGTGTATGAGTGTGTGTGTGTATGTGTGGATGTTTCCCAGAGATGGGTTGCGGGTGGAAGGGCATCCGCTGCGTAAAAAATTGCTGGATAAGTTGGCAGTTCATTCTGCTGTGGTGACCCTGGATTAATAAAGGGACTAAGCCGACAACAAAATGAATGAATCAATGAACTCGTTTAATTTTTGCCATATTTTTACCTACTAATCAGTCATTCATTCATTCATTTTCTTTTCAGCTTAGTCCCTTTATTAATCCGGGATCGCCACAGCAGAATGAACCACCAACTTATCCAGCACATGTTTTACGCGGCAGATGCCCTTCCAGCTGTAACCCATCTCTGGGAAAACTAATCAGTCATTACCAGAAAAAATAAAATAAATTTTAGGGTCAAACAATTTCTTCAAATAGGGCTAAGCAGAGACCTCAACATATAGGACATCATAGGTCGTTCTCTGTATTTGATCTCCATTGTCTAAAAATCGTCCAAATTATATTAAACTTTGTTTTCTAGTGCAAAAACTTACCACACAAATTCACCAGAATTCTTTGATGAACGTCTTCTCTCAAGTTTCCACTTTCTGCTACCAGTTCGCTCTGGGTGTGGGTTGAGCTCTTCCCATTTGTCCAATGAAGATGGAACTGCTGCTGTAAACAAAATGAGACCATGTCCTCAGACAGAGATATACTATCATAATATAGCCCAAATAAAATGCAACCTATGTTTGTGGCATCTGCATCACGCACATTTTAAAAAGAGCAACAACATAAACATATGTCCTGTAATTTTCTTCTCTCTGTAAAGTACTGTCTATTACAGAACCTACAGTTTTAATAAAATAATTCTCTGAAACTTATAATACCTGAGTCCAATGAGATTTTTTCAGGTGTGCGGGAACAGGGAATGCTCTGTTCAATGTCCACTTGGATCAGCTCTGTTTCATCTGGCTTCTTCCTATACGGTGTGCTTTTAGAAGAAAGAGGGCTCTTTCTGTCTTTGCTGTGTCTTCTCTCACCAGGCTCACTCAGATCCAGCAGGTCCAGAGAGGAGGACAGTACTGGACACAAGATACAAAATGAAAATAAAAATCTTGCACTATTGTGTCTTCTTGGCCTGCTCTAGAAACTTCATTTCTGAAAGGGCGAATCCACTGACCTATAGTAAGTTTCAAGTTAAGTGCACAAAGTGAAAAGTTAGTACACACACTAGGGGAAATGTGAGAAAAAAGAAGCAAAAGTAACTTTTTTAAAAAGTTGTGATGGTATCAGTGAATTTAATGAAGGTTGTTTCACCACAGAGGAACCAAGAGCAGTGGCGGTTCTAGGCCAGAATAACTGGCTGGGCAAGGGCTACTTGTACTTTTAGGGTGCATACTTTAACATACTGTACATTACAAACTACTTAAACAATTGTTCAGTCTTTTTTATGCATCACTCTGCAGTCTTCATAAACACGCTAATTATATAACTTGGATGACAAATTCTTAACATTCAAGTACATCAAGGCACATTTTTGAACTTGTAAACTTTAACAGATACAGTTGAAGTCAATTTTCTGCCCTCCCATTAATTTAAAGTAGTTATAAGTAGTAAAAAATTAGTTTAAAGTAATGTTTAAAGTGATCTTTAAGAAGTGAAGTTTTTACACTAATTTCAAGAGGAGCACGTGATATAATTGACAGCAGCTGGCCACCTATCTACACTCATTAGTTAGCCAATCAGATCTATCCTAACCCACTATAAGTAGCCTAGCTAGACATTACTCCCTTATCTACGTTTTCCGAAGAAACCCCCCATCCAACCCCTTCTCCTCCTTTTCTCCTTTACAAAAAGGGGAGCTCTCGAGAACCACCTGATCTCGTACTCCCCTCACATGCTCTATGGATCTGGCGGGAGCCCTGGGCTCAACTATCTCCGAGCTCAGGGTTCTCTCCCGGGACAGCATGCCAAACCTGCTTACAGCTGTCAAGCAATATCTAAGTGTGAACTCTTGAAACCAAGAAAATTTTCACAGTATTTCTTATAAAACAAAAATAAATCTTCTGGAGACATAATATTTCTTATTTCTTTTCCATTTGTCTTCAATAAAAGCTGTTTAAAAATAAATAAATAAATAAATAAATAAATAAATATTTTAAGGACAGTAATATTAGCCTCCTCAAGAAATATTTACTGTATTTTTTTGATTGTCTACACAACAAACCAGTTATACAATCACTTGACTAATTATTCTAACTTTCCTAGTTAACATAACCTAGTCAAGTCTTTAAATGACACTTTACTCTGATTACAAATAGTAGTTATTAGAAATTAATTAGTTAAACTATTGTTTAAAAATGTGTTGTAAAAAAATCATGTGTTTGAAGACTCGAGTTTTATGTCATCACTAAAAAAAAAATGAATGAAGACAAAACTAAACGAGTTGAATATTACTTTCAGGGATGGGCAAAAATACATTGAAATATATTTTAAAATAAAATACAAAATACTTCAGTTTACATTTATTAAAATAAACTACAAAATACAGCAGTCACAAAATATTAAAATGCTGTATTTTGATAATACTACAAATTATTGTACAAGGGAGCATGACATTTCTTTGCCCACCTTCTACCAATAGGCATATTTGATCAATCCCTTTACCATTACACTGAATTTATCTTTCATTTTACCATAATTTTTGTGCAAATTTCATACAGAAAGTTCTGTCTTAAAGATGACTTCTTTAATCACTGTAAAAACCATGTAATGCAGATAAGGAGTTGGAATTTAGTACTATATCTCTTCATTGTGTTTCCATCCATTGCCTAGCCAGTGAAACTGCAACAATCTTATATAGTCTTATAGTCTTATATTTTAAAGGGTGATGTATGAAGAGGTTTTTTTTTGTTTGTTTAATGAATGTAGATTTTTTTTTGCAATTTAAATCTTTAATACATAATGTAAAAACATGATGTCTGAAAACTACTCAAACCTCAAAAAACTTTTAGTCGTTTTTATAAATCATGTTTATGACAGTGTACTCTTCTATACACAACAAACATAATATGTAAAAATTGAGTTATCTCTTGCAAATAAACTCTTCATATACATTCTGCTGCTGCAGTATAGACTGGAGTATTGTTAAATATTTGTGTCTCATTTACTGTATTGTGCCCCTTTGACATCTCTTCATTAACTGTACAGTGCACATGCAGATCAGCCACTGGCATTTGAAACAGCCTATGAAGTATTGTAGGAATTGCCACTATAAGGCTTATTTGTATGTTGTTTGTCTTAAACTGGAAGAGTCTTGTTTTACCCCCTTAGTGAACACCAGTACACATTCTTTAGGTGTTTTATATTTCTAAAGTTCCTCTGCAGTTCCACATGCAGCACTGAGACTGAGAATGATCATGTGCTGATTATCCATATCCTGTTCTTAAGGACTAATATTTTATTCCATCTTATTTCTTAAGCAAAGATGCTGATGCCAAATTGTACACTAAACTGCTATTACATATTACTGGTCTTAGCACTGTGCAGTATACTATTTTCAATGATTGTGGACTTGTTCCAAATCTACCCTTGCCATTTGTCAGTTATTTTCTTTGGACCCTATCACACACCTGGCGCAATAAAGCGCAAGACGTGTTTGGCGTGATTTGTTGCTATTTTCAGACCAATGCAATTCTAATTTTCCTGTTTTGCGTTATGTTGTTTAAATAGTAAATCCATTTGCGCCACTGTGTGGACTCATGGGTGTTCCGGTCAAGAAAGGAGGTGTGTTAAGGCGCATTGTTGGCACATTGCTATTTTGAGGAACTGAAATAGACTGCGCAATTGACCAGCTGAAAGCAGGTCTAAAGTCTAGTGCAGAGCACATTAGTTTTGCGCCATAAAAGCAGGCACATCGCTTAATACACACAGGATGTACAACAATACGCAAATATCTTTCAAATGAAAAAGAATCAAAAAGTTACAAAAATGATTATTTTCTACATAAAAATAAAAACCAGTACCTTCATCTTGAGGGGCTTTTTAAAAGTTTATTCATTTGTTTCTCATTCATTCATTTTCTTTTTAGCTTAGTCCCTTTATTAATCTGGGTTCACCACATCAAAATGAATCACCAACTTAACCAGCATATGTTTTTTTCACAGCGAATGCTCTTCCAGCTGCAACCCATTACTGGGAAACATCCTTACACACTCATTCATATTCATACACCACAGACAATTTAGCCTACCGAATTCACCTGTACCGCATTTCTTTGAACTTATAATACTGGGGGAAACCAGAGCACCCGGAGGAAATCCACACCAACAAGGGGAGAACATGCACTCCACACAGAAACACCAACTGACCCAGCCGAGGCTCGAACCAGCAACCTTCTTGCTGTGAGGCGAACGTGCTACATACTGTGCGGCTGGAATTTATTATATTTAATATTAAATACAAAAACAAAGGATTTGTACTGCTAGTGTAAAATGTAAATATATTACAGTAAAAATACTGTAAAAATTGTCATACTGTAAAATTAAAATGTGCTAAAAGGCATTTTACTCTAAAAAAAAGTTGCGGAAAGGCTATTTTATTGTAAGGTTAATTTGCGGTGCTGCTACCGCCTAAAACACATTTACAGGCAAGTTCCTGTAAGGGGGCAGTTGCGGTAACTTGTTGGTTACAGTGTTTCAGTAAGTTACTGCAAAAGTGCAATAAAATGTTTAAGAGTGTTCCCAGCAAGTGTTTTGTGCTTACAAGATAATCTAATAGTTATCCAAAAATCTATTACCTAATGACCATTAGAGTTTCACGGACAGTCTAAATTTAGCTTTGTTTAAGCCCCAAAGTGTTTGGACATCTATTAGATGTCTTTTGAACACAAAAAAAATCTTGGTGGCTGTGAGGTTCAACAACTCGTTCCATTATGTTAAAAAATTAGGTCAGTAAGCAGAGAGCAGGTGGTGTTTTGTGATTATTCAAAACACATTCAATCAAATACGATTTTGAGTGGACAAGCTTAAAATATTTCAGACCCTGTTTACACTAGTATTTAGCCTTGTCCGCTTATGATTCAACTGAAAAAAAACAAAAAACGAAACACCTCTTACAGCAAAACCAGATGTAAAAAGGGCCTGATTGTCAATAACAGTAGGGAATTAACATGTGAAAGAGTCCTTTATCCCTTTATACCCTGAGAAAAATGTGTTATTGTCATTTATGCACTATAAATAAATTGTGAACTAGCACGTTTTTATCACTTTAAAATTAGCACATCATCCAAAAGTTTGAAGGAAAAAAAGCATTCAATACACATCCAGACTTGGTTATTGCTCTAGGCACTGATCTACCTGCATGGTCACAGCAATAAAAGACAGCAGGCAGTTCCGACAGCTCTGGGGCCTGTGTCAAATAATCTTTGATGTTGCATGTTCCTCTGCAAGAGAACAAAGAGCGTTTGATATAGTGTATATATACACACTTTAGCAAGAACCCGCTCCACAGAACACTGCGCTCTGCTGCGAAGATGAAGGTTTGAGACAAATTCATACTCATTCAATATTCAGAGGGATTGTAGTCAGCTTTTGTGATTAGGTGAGATTAAAGCATAAAACTTTCAGATGGTTGAACCCTCCATTATACACTACGTGAACATTAAGAACAGACGCTCCTGACATATTTTACAGTTTGTACCCCTTCCTGTTCCCCTTCTGGCTCGCCGAACAGAGAACTTCATTGCCAGGTGGCTAAATGTCAATGCGGGTCACTGCTGCATATACCATAGATGCCAACACTGAGGATACATGATCCAAGCCTTGAGGGCTCGGTGGCACACTTTCTAAAATCTGGCACAAACCTGAAACCAGGTTAACACCACATCCTTTTGTCTTGTATGATTTCAAAATGATCCACCTGGACACCAAAAACGTGTCAAGACTCTTTTAAAGGTCTTCGAACCAAGGTCAGGGGGCACCATTAGCTGTCAAGAAGATATTACACAATGATTGCCTTTATCTGTGCACTTATGATGGTTTCAGGAGAATTTAGATATAAAAGAACCGAATGTCATTGGGGC